TTGTTATCCAAGTTCCTCTCAGATGGTGAGAACTGGTTCCACTATAATTGCAGGATGAAATTATCATTAAGAAAATCATGGAATTACAAACTGCTCTGTTTTTGATGGAAGTGAAACTCTAGGATCCGAAAGGATAATTGAAGTCTTCTATCACTGCTATATCATGTCTAACCTCCAGAGCTTATAATTTGTTTTCTGTATTCCTTGTAAACTTTTTTCTATCCAAATATTCTGTAGCATATTGTAATGACAATGCCAGTTCTGATGTTGTCTCCATTTCTCTTTACCTAGATGCTTCTCATCATTCTTCTTTCCTCTGCTCCCTAAATAAACTCACACGAGTGTTTCTTCTTAATATATACTACCCCACTCTCTTTTTCCTATCTGCTTTCTTTTAAATAAGTTATAGTCTTTCCAGGACTTCAGTATTCTTAAGCATCTCATCATACCAAGCCCTATTTATGCCTTTGAGGTCAAATTTGCTTCCTTGTCTTAAAATCCCCAATCCACCTTTTTTTAACAGCACTTTAAGCATTAAAAAAGCCTTTTGACTATATTTGTAATAAATCAAAATCATCACCGTTCCAGCCTTTGCTAGATGCATCATTCCACTCCTGGTCAGGAGTTCATCATGTCTATATTTTTACTAAGATGTGGTCCAGAAATCCAAATCCCATTTTTAAACACCTTCTTACAAGATGTCCACTTCTGAAATCTGCATTAACTTTCTGAATCTTTTGTTTCCAATTACAACCATAATGAATACACCACCTGTGCTCCTAAAGTCTTTAGGGTTTTTTTTCCCTTAATGTCAAAACCTTTGGAAATGCTTCCCAGATTTATGGTAGTATCATAATTTTTGCTCATGTGAATCACCAGATGTGGGTAGTAGTTGTATCCTTTGTTTTGTAAGGTTCTCCACTATCTCTTGGACATATGCTCCTGGAATATGGCAACACTGTCTATTTTTGTGCATGTGTGTGTGTGTGTGTGTGTGTGTGTGTGTGTGTGTGTGAGTGTGTGTGAAGCAATGAGGTTAAGTGACTTGCCCAGGGTCACACAGCTAGTAAGTGTTATGTGTCTGAGTCTGTATTTGAACTCAGGTCCTCCTGACTCCAGGGCTTGTGCTCTTTCCACTGTGCTACCTCGCTGCCCCAGAACTATCCATTCTAGTTATTGTCAGCAAACAATTGGTTCAGTATCCTTCTACAGGGAGTCACCAACTGTTCTTCTTTTCTTCTTCCTGGATGTCTTGCCAGATAACACCTGTGAACTTCCTTTACCATTCTTTAGACTACAAACAAGTGCTTCTTCCTCAGAACATCTTGTTTCTTCATCTTCAAGAAGAGCTCCCAACTTGTTTATCAGCTCTTGCCTTATTTGTCTGTGTGACATTATGTTATTCTTCAACATCCTGACATAGGTCACAATTAATTTCTGTCTCTTCAGATCATCTGGAATCTGCTTGGTCTTATCCATGATTGGTGTGCTTATTGTCCACCCAAGCAGCTCTTTCCTCTTTTGATAGATCTAATGATTGAAAGCTATTTTATTAACTTTTTTTAATCTGAAATCTGCCTCCTTTTGTATTTTACTCATCACTATTGATTCTACTCCTCAAGTGTCAAAGTTCAGTTTCATCTCTCGTAATAGTATTGTAGACTTTCTAACTTACTATCAGAAGAGGTATTTAAAAAGATGGGCTCTTTCCATACTTAAAAATCAGGGGTTTTGACTAGGTGATAGTTCTAAATTCTCTTTCAGCTCCAACATTCTTTGGTTCTTATTTTCTAATTATTTATTTGTATCTCTTTTTTTCAGGGAACCACCATCATGCCATTGCTGTCTTCTATTCTGTATGATGATGAAGAGTTCCCTAATCCAGACCAGTTTGACCCAGGTCACTTCCTGGATGAAAGTGGCAACTTTAAGAAGAGCGACTATTTCATGCCTTTTTCAACAGGTAAGACATTCATCTAAATATGTACATTAAAGATGGAATGATAACTCAGAGGACCTTATTACTTTTGTGACCTTGGTCAAATTATTTCATTTCTCTGGGCTTCAGTTACCTTACATGCCCAAAAACTGGGTTGGTCTAGCTGACCATTATGGTCCTTCCAATTTCTATAACCAGGGAGTAGGGTGGAGACACAGTAAATCATTCTTCTAATTCTCCTTAGGCCTAGGTTCATCAACAAATCAGTTGAGTTTCAGAGTAGCTGTTCCAAAAAAGAGGCAGAACTGAGATAGTGGCCACTCTGTTCTGCATCCAGAGTGACAGCAACCCCCCCCCCCACATTAATAACCATCCTCCAAGGCACTGTCAACCAGGAGCTACTTCTCAGATAAATCTTCCAGGCTTTTGTGTTAGCATGTATAATCTTGTATTTTATCAAGCCAAGGAATGGGATTGGGTTATCTTAAGGCCTACTACTCAGGTACCATTATGGCTAAGGTCACTGAAGGTCTAATCTTAGAGTTTATGATTTTATAGAAATGTGACTCTTGACTAGGACACATGAGCATGGAACCCCCTTCCCAAGCTATGTATATTTTAATGAGGATCTATTGGTACAGAATTATAACTGATGGTCTGTCCTTTCACCTTCAAGTCTTGGGGAACCTACTGGTTATTAGGTAATGGTGGTGATGGTCCATTCTGGCAGTGGCAGACAAGAATGTTGGCAGGCAGCTAACTATCCTTGACATTGTGGTCTCCAATGCCCTGCTCAATTGGTTACAATACTTGGGTTAGAGCTAGAAGTGAGTAGTTAAGACAAGTGGCTGGATGGCCATGAAGCTGTGGGGTAGACTCCAGAGGTGTTTTCTGTCCAAAATGGTGATAGATGGTTCCCAAAAGGAGCTTTGATCATTCTTCTGTCACCTTTCCTCATTGCAGTCACTGTGGGTAGCCACAAAGTTATTCCTTGAGACTGTAAATGAGGGATTGTTTCTCCCTAAGACAATGACTCCTTTCCTCTGAATATAAATCCCAGAACTTGCTCTGGCTCAGGGGAGATTGATTGAGGGAGAGCATACAGGAGGGCTTTTTCCTCTCTGTCTTGGCTCTTCAAAGGAGTCAAGGACCAGAGAGGAAAGGAATGCACACAGTTCTTCACCTAATGCCACTGAGTGTTAGTGGGCTACCTGACAGTCCAAAGAAGTGGCCTAGATGGCTTAGAAGTTTACAAATATCAAATCCTTATATTTGTCTCTTTCAGGAAAATGGATATGTGCTGGTGAGAGTCTGGCTTGGATGGAATTATTTCTGTTTTTTACTACCATCTTACAAAATTTTACCTTGAAATCTCCCATTGACTCAAAAGATATCAACAACACCTCAGTTGCCAGTGGATTAATCAAAGTACCCCCCTTGTATGAGCTCTGCTTTCTCGCTTTCTAAAACATGTGAAGGACTAGCCCTAGTTCCAACTGCTCTAGAGTCTCCTCACATTCTATGAACAAGATGTATTCATTCCATTGCCTGCCAATGAAAGCCCTCTATGATTTCAGTCCAATATACTCTTCTAGCATAATCTAATACTCCCTTTGACTTTTGCCAAAATCACAATTTAATTTTCCTCAACCTTCCTTAGAAATTCCCTGTTGCAGGAATATTTCTTCTTTTTTCTTCACTTCAACTCCTCTTGTTGCCCACAACCAGATTGTACACTGAACGGAGAGGCGTGAAATAACTTATGACATGGGCCAGGTGGAGTAGAATTACTGACTCTGTTTATTCATCTGAGGGCACAGAATATATAGGGAAAATCTAGCCTAACTTCAAAGAGTCCTCCCCGTGAGATACTCCCCAGAATATCTGCTGAGGATGTAACAATAATGAATTTCCTCCTTATCAGGGTTCCTAGATTGGGCTGTAGATTCCAAGGTTTTCCCAGGCACCTAGGCGCCACCTGCATAGAGGAGTAAATATGTAAACCTAAGGTTCAAAGAGAGAGAAGGGATGTCTCAGAGACCTCTTTATCAGGAAGGAATTTGGGGAGCCGTACCACTTAATCCCCTGAGCCCTTTGGGATGAAAGCCTGAGCAGAGGTCAAACTCTGCCTTGGATCTTAAACCCTTATCAGACTCTTAAGATCGGCCCTCAACATCCACTGACAGAAATCTCACCCACCCTTCTAATCACAATTTAGGTGCCATATCCCTGTGATCTCTTTAGTTCTTATAGTCTGTATAATTCAATCTAAGCCTGAATTACACATATGCATCTTACGTTGTGTGTTCTTTCCGACATGTTTATTGATCCTGTCTTGTGTTCCTCACCAAATCTTAAGATTCTTTTTAGTAGGGCCTCTATCCTATACTTGTGTGTAATTATCCACCACCAATTGCTTAGGAGCCATTTTCTGCCCCTTAAAAGTCTCATGTCACATACTTCAACACATACGTGTGTCTTACTACGATGACAGCTTAACTGATCACAATGTGATGGCAGTGAGGTGGTACCTTGGACAGGGTCTTGGACCTGGAATTACAAAGACCTGAGTTAAAATCCAGCCTTAGACATTTATTGGCTATGTGATCCTGGGAAAGTCATTTCACCTCTGTTTACTTCAGTTCCTTTATGTATAAAATGGGGATAATCATAGCACCTATCTCCCAAGGCTATAGTGACAGGATCAAAGGAGCTGATAACTGTTAAGCATTTAGTACAGTGTCTGGCACATTGTAAGTATTGTATAAATTTTACCAGAAATTATTATTATTACAACAACAATAGCTACTACTAGTAGTACTTCTACTACTAGTACTACTACCACTATTACTATCTTTACTACTACATATTTCACCCTCCTACTCTAATTAAAAAGTAGAAATAGAAAATGATCTACTGTTCACCACCTAAAAGAGAGCCTGGATGGAAAACTTACAAGAATTTCATAGTCAAATTTCAATATTTCCAGATTAAGGAGATCATATTACAAGCAATAAGGGGAAAAAAAACAATTTAGACATTGTAGAGATACAATCAAGATATCACAAGATGTAGCAGCTTTTCCATGAAAAGACCATAGGTTTTGAAATATTATACTTGAAAGAGCAAAAGTGCTGGGGTTGTGAGCAAGAATTACTTGTCCAGCAAAGTTGAGTATAAGTATACTGTGTCTCTATATGCTATACTATGCATTTGGATAATATATCCAAAAAATATATATTGGACTAACTGAAAGACTTTCAGGTATTTGTGACAAAAAGACTAGAACTCAATGTAAATTTGATACAAAAGATCCAGAAGAAAGATAAGAAAAATATTAAAAGTAATTATAAGGGACTTATTGAGGTCAAACTGTTTACATCTTATATATGAAAATGCTATTAGTATTCTTAAAAGTGTCATCATTACTAGGGTAGTTTGACATAAATGTTGGATCTGAGTTGTCTGTGATGGGATGATTCCCAAAACAGAATTGGGCAGGAAAAGATAAAAAGGAACAGTTATCTCAATAATGGGACATGAAAAAAAGAACTGATACAAGAAGAAGCAGATGGAGGTGGAGGACTGGTAATGTTGGAATCTTACTTACTCTCTTCAGATCTTGGTTGAAGAGCAAACTATTTACATCTTATGGGATGGAAAAGTCTTCTGGATTTGTAGAAGCAGAGTTGGGGAAGAAATTTTAGAAGGGTGTGGAGATTAAGATTTGAAAGTCTTGGGGGGAAAACAGTGTAGGGGGGAGAGGATAAGAGAGAGACTCAGAGGAGTGAGTAGAATGAAGAATAGAAGGGTAAGAGGAGAAGATAAAATAACAGGGACATTCCCAAATAGTAATTATAACTTTGCATGTGAATGGGATGAATTCACCAACCCATAAAATGTAAACAGACAGCAGAATAGATTAAAAGGCAAAATCAAATATGTTGTTTACATGAAACACATTTAAGTATGAGAGATACACACAGTGTGAAAATAGGGTTATAGTAGAATTTAGTATTTTTCAGCAGATGCAATCATGATCTCAGAAAAAAGTTATTGCTAAAATAGATTCAATTAAAAGACATAAACAGGGTAGCTACATTTTGATAAAAGGTACTATGAATAATAAAGCAATATCAGTACCGAACCTATATGCATCAAATGCTGTAACATCCAAGTTTTTAATAGAAAAGTTAAACGAATTACACATGGAAATAGGTAGTAGTATTATAATGGTGGGAGATTTTAACTTTTCCCTCTCAGAACTGATAATCTAACCCAGAAATAAATGAGAAAAAGTCAAGGAAGTGAAAAAAATGTAGGTAAACCAGATATGATAGATATTTTAAAGGACTTGAATGAAAAGAGAAAGAGATAAACCTTTTTTCTCAGCACTTCATGGTATCTTTACAATGATTGACCACATATTGGGACATAAAAATTTTATAGTGAAAGCAGAAATATTAAAAGTGTCCTTTCAAATTATAATGCAATAAATGCTATTAGCATGCAGAGAAAGAATTAATAACAGAAGTATATATAGAATAAATTTACACATATATACATATTCATGTGTAATGGTAGTGATCTCTAGGTTGGGGAGCTGGAGAGAAAAGAAATTTACATTACTATATTACACATTTAAAAGGAATAAGAAGTTGTACATAATAGATTCGCAGTTTCATGTGCAATCACCTTTTCTTTTTTTATTATACTGTTATGGAAACGCTTGTTTTATTCCACAAATTTAAAATGAAATAAATAAAAAATTTAAAAATATATTAATTTCCAGAATGGTAAGACCAATTCACAGCTCCACCAATGGTCTGTCAAAGTGCCTATTTTCCTGAAGGTCTTGTGTCTTCTCTCATTATGAACCTGAAAAATATCAGTACACACATACACACACACACACACACACACACACACACACACACACACACAGAGCAGTTGTTGTTTTGCAGAAACATCATAAGTCTGGGTATTTATTCCTTTTTTATTCCTCCCCTCCAAGAGAAACAGAGGAGTGGAGCTAGATCTTCCTGGACCATGCCTTTGTTCTCCCACTGGATCAACTCAGTCTTTCCCTGAAGAAGTAGCACATACTAATCGACCCAACAATATCAGTTCTAGACATGTACTCCCAAAGAGATCAAAGACAGAAGGAAAAGTCACTCTCTGATCTACCCTAATTTTCTCTGAGTTGGAGGCTGAAGATTTTTGCCCAGAGCATGTTTAGAGGGACTTAGCTACGATAAGAAATATGCACATAGTTTTAATCTAAGCTCAATGGCCTGCAGGTCCAAGTGGGTCCTTTCTCTGCTATTTTAGTGAGTTCAAGGATTTTGATTATTAATATAAATCATCACTGCTTGGAGCCCCTACATCACAATCCAATTTTTACTACTAGCATTGGCTGAACACTGGATCTATCCTTCTCTGATGACAGGGAAACCTAATATAATTATTCCATATTTAAACTAACCACTGATGCTTGTCCCCAAATACTTCCCTATTTGCACTTGTGGGATTCAGCTAAACACAGGCAATTAATAGCAATCATATATATCCTTATCTACAGATAGCTATCTTTAATGTATTCTTGAAAATAGTAAATAACCTGTTAAAAAAAACAGTAAACTTTTACAACACTTTTAAATAGAAAGAGAGAGAGAAAGGTAAAAAGGTAATTTACTAAATCCTCTGGAATCTTATCAAGGGAAATATTCACCAATGATTAGGTTGGTCACTGCTGTCCTGTATGCCTAAAGATACTTAAATGGCCTGGTGGAGTCTAGACCCACTTAAAAATCTTCCCCTCCACCCCTGTCATCATATTTCTTTGCATAGGAATCCTTTCTGCTTAATATCCCTGGGAGGGATAGAAACTAAAGGTAGAATTTCTATGGCACAGGGTGAGGAAACTCTCCAAGCTAGTAATTAAAAATTCCTCTCCTGTGGCAGAGACTGCAGTCCAACTCTAGAGAGTCTAGTCTAGACCAACTCTCTACAGGTCTTTAGTCCTCTGGAACTATGAATGCCAGGGTACTTAGCAAGAATTCCAAAATTTCTTCCTGTCTATTTTTAATCTGAACCTTCTGCTATCCTATTTTATATGAATATTTCTATATACAAAGTACATACAAAGATGTACTTCATTCTATACCAGTTCATAAAAATCTTCCTAGGTTTCTCTGAATCTGTTCCTTTTGTCATCTATTACGACAACAGAATATTTCATTAATTCATATAGTGCAATTCACTCATTTCTTCCTTAATTGTTGAATATTTCTCTCTTTCCCACCCCCTTTCCCTAGTTTCCATTTCTTTGTTACAATGAAAAGCGTTGCTATAATTATTTTTGTACATATGAGACTCTTCCTTCTGTCTTTGATCTCTTTGGGAATACATGTCTAGAACTGATATTGATGGGTCACTAAGTATGTGCTACTTAGTGATTTTTTTTAGTATAATCCCAAATTTCTTTTTAGAATGGCTGACCAACTCACAGCTTAAGCAATGGTACCTTCATGTCTGTCCTATATAACCTCTTTAACAATTTTCATTTTATATTTT